CTAATTGACAAAATTAACTAACTAATTATAATTAATATCACCAGGGGAATGGAATGACAATGGAATGGCCCTAATTAACAAAATCAACTAGCTAATTATATTTAATATCATCAGGGGAATGGAATGACAATAGAATGGCCCTAATTGACAAATCAACTAACTAGTTATAATTAATATCATCAGGGGAATGAAATGAAAATGGAATGGCACTAATTGACAAAACTAACTAACTAATTATAATTAATATCACCAGGGGAATGGAATGACAATGGAACGGGACAATATATTGATTATCTGTTATCGACCTTATCAACACATTGTCTACTGTATTGTCTAAAACACAATAGGTGATCCTTCAACCAATAGAAGTCAGGTTAATTCAAATATGTGTTTTTTTAGCAGATAGGTATACGTGTTTTAAATGTGTCCTATATATTGTTCAAGGTCGATAACAGATAATCAATATATTGTCCCGTATTTGAGTCACCGTTTACATATACAATGAGTGGAAGGTAGACTGTACCTAACAGTGTACTTACTCGAGGAAAACAATGAGTGGAAAGTAGACTGTACCTAACAGTGTACTTACTCGAGGTAAACAATGAGTGGAAGTTAGACTGTACCTAACAGTGTACTTACTCGAGGTAAACCATAAGTGGAGGGTGGTACCTAACAGTATACTTACTCGAGGTACACAATAAGTAGAAGGTAGACTGTACCTAACAGTGTACTTACTCGAGGTACACAATGAGTGGAAGGTAGACTGTTCGTAACGGTGTACTTACTCGAGATAAACAATGAGTGGAAGGTAGACTGTACCTAGCAGTGTACTTCCTCGAGGTACACAATGAGTGGAAGGTAGACTGTTCCTAACGGTGTACTTACTCGAGATAAACAATGAGTGGAAGGTAGACTGTTCCTAACAGTGTACTTACTCGAGGAACACAATGAGTGGAAGGTAGACTGTTCCTAACGGTGTACTTACTCGAGGTAAACAATGAGGGGAAGGTAGACTGTACCTAACAGTGTACTTACTCGAGGTAAACAATGAGAGGAAGGTAGACTGTTCCTAACAGTGTACTTACTCGAGCAACACAATGAGTGGAAGGTAGACTGTCCCTAACGGTGTACTTACTCGAGGTAAACAATGAGTGGAAGGCAGACTGTACCTAACAGTGTACTTACGCGAGGTACACAATGAGTGGAAGGTAGACTGTACCTAACAGTGTACTTACTCGAGGAACACAATGAGTGGAAGGTAGACTGTTCCTAAGACAGAATCTTTTATATTATCGTTTTTTGTCTGCACTAAACCCAACAGCACACACAAGTTATACTCTGCTATGTTTTTTGACGATAAAATGACAAACACTCAAATTGTCGAAAATGCGCATTTATTCTAAATGCCAGAAATCGAACATATGTATGCATCTTTGTGTTGATGTTTATAATAAGGTGTACAAAGAACCAAAAAAGATGGGGCTTGCTACAAAATAAACGCCACAAACTTGAACTTAACTGAAAAATACACCAGCGCAACATGAGTGCGTTAATCAAAACAACTCGACGAGTTGTAAGATGCCAAAATAATTAGCATAAGGAGATCTGTCAATATGCTTCATAGTGCAGTTCTCCGCTGGTACAAACGAGCACACCTGAGATTCTATTGAGTCAAGCATATTTATTTTAACAACACCACAAAGGAACTTTGCCGTCCATAGACGCTTGGGAGCCCCGTTTATGAGTCCCGACCGGTGCTTGTAGATATTGTGGACTCCTATGGGCGATGGTCTATTGGTCGCTGCTTTGATGAAATCAAAAGTGTGATGCGCATAGACGAAGTACATTCCAGTGCCTGGTATCTTGGGAAAAGTGATCTTCCTTCCGTCATCACTCAAAGTCAGATTTCGTAAGAATGACGTTTTGCTGCCCAGTATATTCCAAGATAAGGCTTGTAAAAAGTGGAAAAAAAATATTCAAATTTGTGTTTGTTGGTTTAAAATAATAACTGAAATCTGGTGTCGGCATATTTTTTCTTTTCCGTTAAGCAGTTAAGAAGACATTCAGTTTTGATAAGAAATGTTATAACCTACTTTGGCCATTTGAAAAGCCACTAGGGTAGAGGTGTGTCGCATGATTTCTTTAGTTCCACCATCGTTGTTTCGCCGATATGGCTGAAAAGACAGAAAACATATATTTAGTTCTTGTTATACACTTCTGTTTACCTTTCGCAATTTGAATCAATATCTATCCTACATAGAAGTTACAAACATTACAACCTCATGTCATACACCCTGAACCTGTATGTGGTTTATGTTTTAAAAATATCATTTCATCCCTTGTTGACAATGGCTTTTTTGTTTGAATAATCATGTTGAGCAGCAAGTGTCTTCATTCCATAACGTTTATTTAGCTAAAGCTATTTTGTGTTAACTTATTTAAAGATAATTAAAACGAACTTAAATGATCTTGTTACACATAAAAACACGATAAACAATAGTTATGAGTTGCCGATTTGTAATGAAAACCTTTTTTGCCTAGATGTTTTTTTATTAAAACTGATAAGACTACTTATTGATTTAAAAACAACAACATAAAATAAATAAAAACACCAATGATGGAACATACATGAAATAGAACAGCAAACTGCAAAGGGTGTCAATTTTGGGAATTGGATCTTTGCACAGTTCAGTACTTTGGCCAACAAGTGTTATGGAAGATGTAAATCAACATGCTGATTGCTTATCATGTTTAACAACACGTCCGCCATTTAATGAATTACCTCGTAGTTGAGAAACCTGGCAATAATTGCCGAGGAAAAGATTATGAGGAATAGTACAATGAATAATTACTTTTTACCGGATTAGTGTACCAGTTGTGTCTGTTTTTCTCCATCAGCTACACAGGAAAACGTGCTTATTTCAGCAATAACTTTTTTAGCATTCAGTGTTTTGTTCTTTAGCATGCTTTGCCAATGGTAACAAATTGAACTAGAATTTTGTTTTTGTGAACAAAAACATATGTCTCCCCTTATTAGTCGATAGAAAAACTATAAAAAAATAACAAATGGCCATATCGCTTAAAATAATGGGGCACGAGACCCGAATTTGGGGTTTGACACTCCTACAAGATACATTAAAACTTTAGTAAGTTTGGTCAACGTAGGTGAAACTAGAACACTGACAGGTCAGTAAGGGCCCCGTCTTGTGGCAATATATCCCCCATAATAATCCATATAGCTGAGCTTGACGTTTGACATTTGGACTTCAAAAAAAAAATAGCAAGGAAGCAAGCTATACAATTTACACGTACTATGATGTGTGTCTTGTTTCCTTCCACCTTTATATTTGGTGGGCTAACAGAAATGTAAATACCGGTGCAATACTCATTTGTTTGTTTTGATTTGTTTTATTTCACCTTAAATACCTCCGCCATCAAGAGCCAGCGTCAAAGTAAGATATCCACTTTGTCTTTGAACTTTGGACCCAAATGACCTTAACCTTTAAACCAGTGATCCTGATCTTTAGTCGGATGACTCATTCTTCAATTCCGACCAACTTTGCTTCATAATATCATAACAAAATGTTCACCAGTAAAAAGATACGATATCTGACCTTTAAATTGACCCAGTGACCTTGACCTTAAGTCATTTGAGTCCTTGTTAAATTCAAACCAACTTTTCTTCATAATGTCTTAACAAAATGTTCACCAATGAAAAGATACAAATTGTAACCTTCACCTTTGACCCAGTGATGGAGATCTTTGGTCAACTGACTCCTTGTTTAATTCCGACCAACTTTGCTTCAAAGTATCATAACAAAATGTTCCCCAGTGAAAAGATATTGAATTTGACCTTAACCTTTGACCCAGTGATCTTGCCCTTGGGTAAATGACTCATTGTTTAATTCTGACCAACATTGCTTCAAAGAGTCATAACAAAATGATCACCAGGGAAAAGATACAAATTTTGACCTTGACCTTTGACCCAGTGACTTTGACCTTTGATCAATTGACTCCTTGTTTAATTTTGACCAACATTGCTTCAAAGTGTCAAAACGAAATGTTCACCAGTGAAAAGATACAAAATGTAACCTTCACCTTTGACCCAGTGACCTTGATCTTTGGTCAACTGACTCCTTATTTAATTCCGACCAACTTTGCTTCAAAGTATCATAACAAAATATTCCCCAGTGAAAATAAACTGAATTTGACCTTAACCTTTGACCCAGTGACCTTGACCTTAAGTCAGTTGACTATTTGTTAAATTCCAACCAACTTTGGTTCATAATGTCATAACAAAAAGTTTTTTAGGGAAAAGAAACAAAATTTGACATTGACCTTTGACCCAGTGACCTTGACCTTTTGTCAGTTTATACCATGTTTGATTGTGACGGACGGACGGATTAATTAGTACAGGGCACCCGCATCTTCGTTGCGGGGCCTTAATTACACGGAAGTTATGCCGTGGACAAACTTCGATATTAAAAATAAACAAAGGGCCATAACTCTGTTTATTTTGGGGCATAAAATATGATTTTATTGTGAAAAAGTCCGCCTTCCAAAGATACATCAATATGGTAAGTATGGTCAACGTAGGTGAAATAACATAGAACTTATGCTCTGGACAAACTTCAGTACTATAATTAAATAAAGGGCCATAACTCTGTATATAGTGAGGCACGGGACCTAGTTTCAGTGCACTGTTCACCTTCTGTAGATGATGCAGGTATACTTCAAGTTTGATTAAGATATCTTTAACGGTTTGAAATTTACGGGCCGGACAAGAATTTACTGAAAATGTGCACTTATTTGACCTTTGACCTTGAGGTAAAGGTCACAGTGACCTAATTCCAGTGCACGCCTCCTGTGGGTGATGCATGCATACCTAAAGTTTCATCAAGATATCTTTAACGGTTTAAAAGTAATGGCCCGGACAAGTCCGATTAGAAGAACCAGAAGAAGAAGAAGAACCAGTACTAATACAATATGTCTCCCTTCATTCGATGTTTTGTTCTTTAGCATGCATTGCCAATGCTAACAAACTTAATAAAGCCCGGCAGAGATTTTTATCAGCAATATTTATGGATGTTGTAAAATCATAACACAACATTATTAAAATGTATATTTATTTACGTACTCATTTTAAAGCAAAGTCAATGTTGTCACAATCAAATAGGTGTCACAGAAGTAATAATCTAACGGAATTGTGATAAAAAATCTGTAAAAAGTCTTCCATTTTCTTGACCATTCTATTAGAATAGAATGGAAAAAGCATATGTACCAATCCTGGCGTTTGCCTTAAGTTTTGGTGCAAGTATTGTACATGTAATTCATTTAGCAAATCTTCAGTAATTGAAATGGAATGTAAACATTTTGTCGTCAACATATTGAGATAAAGGTCTATCAAATTTGTTAATTGAAGACCAAAATGGCATATAGTGATGATATTTGTTTGTTAGTATGTTGGGCTAAATGGTTATCAAGTGTGTTAAATCGAATGACCTTTATCTACTTCAAGGTCACAATTTTGTTGACGCTTTAGGATACGATATATATCAAATTAGTTGTACGAAAATGTGTAAAATTTAACAATCTATTTAAAATTATATCTTCACATCGCTGTAATTAAATCTACATACGACGATCTAGCATTCTCTTTTGCATTAAGATAACTTACCTTCACGTTCTCCATCATATTCCAAGGTACATTTCCACACTGGAACATCAACGTCGATGTGTGTGTAACAACAATTGTTATCCAAAGTAGTCCTATCAAAGAAGCGATAATCACTACAAGAGCAATAATTTGTCCTTTGTGAGTTCGAAATTTTCCATCTCTAGGTACAGGAACAGCCATGTCAACAGAATAACTCTTTGCACTGCTTGTCGTTGACACACCTATGCCAACTGGTATAGAGGTAGGCACGGTTGAGTATATATACACCCATAGCTAATAATAACTTGACCGCGCCCGTGCGTGGATACAACTACATAATGAACCTGAAATACTTTTACAACTATGATGAACGTGAATGTAAACCAGTGCAACATTAGCACGTATAGTCACAAAACTTCGACGAGTTTGAACATGCCAAAATAGATAGCATATGACCCATTTAGTTAATAAACCAGGAATCTTTGCTTTAAAAGTACACCGTCCGTTTGCGTAAAACATTTCAAGCAGGGGAATAAGACTGTTATGCATTAGATTTTGTGGAAACTACATGCCATATCAATTCCTGGTTTAGATACAAAGATATGTATATTTCAAACTGTTCTTCATTCAAGCGAATTCCATTCTATAATAGAAATGTACTGAACCTGGAAATCCACATAAACAAAAGTTCTGGTCGTTAGTGTTTTGTAATTTGTCCAAAAAAAAAGACGAGAGCATAATCTATATTTAAATCCCCTTATGTTCCTTGCTCTAACAATAGTGATAATAGGGCTGACTGCCTCACCTTGTTTACGCTTATTATATCTAATGTCTCGTCGAAAAATGTAACCTTCAAATCTAGATCATGATATATACACATTAGATGCACTGGAACCAAAACACAATGAATGATGTATAAAATGAAATCCGTGTAACTGTATGGTTACGAAAGTCACGTCGAGGAATTTCGCCTTCAAATGTAGATCATGAGAACTACACAACTGCTGCATTCGAAGCAAAATATAATCTATGAGTGAAAAATGTATACACTGAATTGTGTAAAGTCCGATGTCAGATAGCGGCCTTCGTTATTTTCTCACTCTCGTTATATATTCCACCATAATGCACGCACATACGTTGATTATTTCTTAAATAGACCGTGTCTGCGTTGCGTCATCTGTGCCGTCAAGGAGTGAAGCTATAACAGACTGCAGTATTATTAGTTATCTGTTAGATAGTGAGTGTGAATGTGAGAGTGTGATTTGTTTTTGATATACTCTTGTTGTAAATAAATT